TTCTGTTCTGTGCACGCTCTCGGCTTCTACGCCGTAGTCTCTTTCAAAACGACTGTCTCGTTCAAAACGACTGTCTCGTTTGCGCAGTGCTGCTCTGGCACTGGCTCGCCGGCGGCTGTCGCCCAGCGATCACACCATTCGACGCGGATGGTTGTTCAATACCTGTCATTTTCCTTCTCGTTCTCCTTCTTCTCCCTTTTTATTGGTCGGGCCTCTCCTCGTGTTGTGGCTCTGTCTTTTTCGCTTTTCCTTTTGCGTCGACGCTGTATGGATAATCCGCAGCATCCGCATTGCCTGCTTGCCTGTCTGTCCTGTTTTACTTGCGCCTCCGCTTGCCAGTGTCGCTTGCTCGCTGTGCTGGCAGTCCGTGGTTGCGACTGAATGCAGGCCTGTGGCGAGTGCAATTGCGCCGCCAGGGAAGCGTTGCGGTGTCGTCTCGCTTGCGCTCCGGAGGCCCCAGGACTCCAAGGCCACCAGGGATCCCGATGGGGGGGGGGGAAAACAAAAAGATTGTGGCCGAGGCTGTCCACGTCGCCGCCCCCCGGGGAGGAAGCAGAGTCGCTGCCGGGCGAGAGTCCACCGTGCTCGCGCATGACGCGCTTGACCGACGGAAGTGCCCGCTGACGGCCTCTGCCCAACGGCCGCCTATCGGCTCGCTGATGATCCGCTGGTACTCTGCCCCCGTCTGCTCCGTGTCCGTCCAGCTTTCCTCTCGCAGCTCGACTGCTCTTGCCCATCGCGCTGCTGCGCGCTCTGCGAAGGGCCCAGCTGCGCTGCCCGAGCTGCCGATGCTGGGTGCTGGGCGCGGTGGTTCTCCTCCAGCGCCGCTGCCTGGGCTGGCATCTGCTGCTCCGCTGCCCGCCGCTGCTGCTGCCGCCAACGCTGCGGAGGAGCTGACCAGGGGCTGAATTGGGGTCTGACTGGCCCCTTCCGTCGATTCGGCTGCCTGTCCGCCTCCTGGTCCGACAGCTGGCTCGACCAGGGCCTCGCGCGGGTTGTGCTCGCCCACCCCGTCGCACTCGTTCTGGCAGAGCCGTGCGTAGGCGTAGTGCGTGCGCATGTGCAACCACTCCTCGTGGCCGCTGTCGTGGTTGAGGACGTGGATGCGGGGTGGCCGCCCTCGCCCATGGCGCCTGAGCGTGCGCCGCGCACCCTGTGTGCTCACTGCCAGGGCGCTCCTTTCTTCTCCCCCCGCAGCCGCGGAGTAGGTGTCTGCGCGCGGGAGGGGGGGGGGCGGAGCTGCCGCCATGAGATGCCGCTCGCCCCCCCCAGCCCTGCCGGGAATGTGGCTCCCAGGCGCGCGTGGGTGTGGCGTCCGACCCAATGTTGCTCGCAGGGTCAGGGAATGGCCAGTTGTGGTCTCCTCCGGCCAGCGTCTGGGCTCGTAGTAGTTGTCCACGGTCCTGTGGATCTCCGCCTTCCAGCGCTCCTGATCAAGGTGGCCGAGCTGCTGGGGGGCGCGGGCCAACTCTGACCTGCCGACATTGCCCCGAAGCCAGGCCGCCGTGCAAACCTCGATTGCTGTCCGCATGCGGTCCTCCAGGTCCTGGGCCAGCCCATTCGCATTGTGCGACGGTAGACCCAGCAGACGAAAGATGTAGGGCACGCAGAGATTCATCCACTCGTTTTTTCCCGGAAAGGGCGTGGGCCCAGGGTTCTCTTTTAGATGGTCTCCCCCCCGGTTTTTACTTGAAGGGGGCCGGCGGAGTTCTTGTGCGATAAATTACGAGGTCGAAGGGGGCCGGCGGATTTCAATTGTGAGGACGAAGGCTATTTTTCGCCACCCCTCACGCAGATCGTGCTCTTGGAATTTTACTGCCTTTAAGGAAACCTAGATATTTCTCAGGTGAAGTAAACTTTTTTCCGACATCGACTTTAAACGATAAAAAAAACGAGGTAAACGCGTTCGCTCGATAAATAACGGGGTATCGCGGCCTCCGGAACGGCGCTGGGAACGGAGTTTTGGATTCTTGAAGTTGCGTAAGTTCGGAAATAGCAGAAATCCCATGTGTTTTTTGACCCTGACCCCGCCGATCTGCGTGAGGTGTGGCACGGAATACCAGAAATGTGTCAAATCCCCTGTGTTTTTGGACCCTGACCCCGCCGATCTGCGTGAGGGGTGGCATCGAATTCCAGAAATGTGGCAAATCCCCTGTGTTTTTGGACCCTGACCCCGCCGATCTGCGTGAGGGGTGGCACGGAATTCCAGAAATGTGGCAAATCCTTTGTGTTTTCGGATCCTGACCCCGCCGACCTGCGTGAGGGGTGGCATCGAATTTCAGAAATGTGGTAAGTCCCCTGTGTTTTCGGACCTTGACTTCGCCCAGGAGGGCCCAGGAGGCTCCAGGAGAGCCCAGGAGAGCCCAGGAGGGCCCAGGAGAGCCCAGGAGGGCCCAGGAGGACCCAGGAGGCTCCAAGAGGCACCAGGGGGCCCAAGGAGGGCCCAGGAGAAGCTCCAGGAGGCTCCAGGAGAGCCCAGGAGGGCCCAAGAGGTCCAAGGAAGACCCAGGAGGGCCCAGGAGCCCTTACGAGGGATCGTGGCCGTGGGAGCGCTGACGTACCGTAATTTACGAGGAATCGTGGCCCTGGGAGCGCGGGTGTAGTGTATTTTTTCATACTTTGTTGAGAATGTCTCGACTAATTCGCTTGTTTTGCCAGGATTTCTTTGGATTTGGATAGGATGTCTCGAGCGAAACGCTCGTTTATCAGAATTTGTTGAGGATGTCTCGAGCGAAACGCTGGTTTTGCAAAATTCGGGGGATGTCTCGAGCGGGGGTCTCGTGGGGTGCCAGAATTCACAGGATGTCTCAGGCGAAATGCTTGTTTTCACGTCCCGCTCGCAGGAATTCAGAGGATGTCTCGCGCGTGCCGCGTCCCGCGCGCAGGAATGTTGAGGATGTCTCGACTAATTTGTTTGTTTGGCGAGGATTTCTTGTGATTTTGACAGGATGTCTCAAGCGAAACGCTTGTTTTTTCATAATGTGTTGAGGATGTCTCGAGCGAAACGCTGGCTTTGTAACATTGGAGGATGTCTCGAGCGGGGGCCTCGTGGGTGGCCAGAATTCAGAGGATGTCTCAAGCGAAATGCTTGTTTTCACGTCCCGCTCGCAGGAATTCCGAGGATTCACGTCACGCTCGCTTGGCACGTTCCGTGGGGCGTCCCTTGGCGAGTCCCCCTGGCACGTCGCGTGGCGCGTCCCCTGGCACATCCCGTGGCACATCCATTGGCACGTTCCGTAGCGCGTCCCCTTGGCACGTCCCGCGGTGCGACCCCATGGCACGTCCCCTGGCACGTCGCCTGGCGCATCCCTTGGACGTCCCGCGGCGCGTCCTCCTGGCATGGTCCCCTGTCCATTAGCTCTGGGGCAGCTACTATGTGTTCAGGCAGCTCGAGCTTAAGATCCAGATCAGTTCGGTCAGGACTCGGATGCAAAGGAGGACTCGATCCACGAGGCTATAGAGCACAATCGCGCCATGGCACATCGCAATTCAGCACGGCGCAGCACAGCACAGCCCTCGGCACGGTACATCAAGATCGATACATTCAGCATTGCAATTTGGCACGTTCCTTGGCACGTTCCGTGGGGCGTCCCTTGGCGAGTCCCCCTGGCACGTCGCGTGGCGCGTCCCCTGGCACATCCCGTGGCACATCCATTGGCACGTTCCGTAGCGCGTCCCCTTGGCACGTCCCGCGGTGCGACCCCATGGCACGTCCCCTGGCACGTCGCCTGGCGCATCCCTTGGGACGTTTCGCGGCGCGTCCTCCTGGCATGTCCCCTGTCCATTAGCTCTGGGGCAGCTACTATGTGTTCAGGCAGCTCGAGCTTAAGATCCAGATCAGTTCGGTCAGGACTCGGATGCAAAGGAGGACTCGATCCACGAGGCTATAGAGCACAATCGCGCCATGGCACATCGCAATTCAGCACGGCGCAGCACAGCAAAGCCCTCGGCACGGTACATCAAGATCGATACACTCAGCATTGCATTTGCCCGTCACCCAATCAGGTGTCTTTGAAAACGCTGCCATGTGTTACAGTTCTATATTCCTTTCCGGGTTCATGGATCGATCATGTTGTCAATACGGCGTCCCCAGAAGTCCAGACCCAGAGATCCAAGGCATTGAAAAAATCAAGACGGATGTTTTTCGCCAATTTCGGCCCCTAGGGGCCCTCGCCGGGCCTCGGGACCGTCAAAAAACGACTCAGGATGAAAAACGGGTCCTGGGGAATGGGTCGAGACTTCCGGAGACCGCGTATTGAAAAAATCACGACATTGGATCTCTGGGGTTGGACTCGGCGATCCGGATTCGGCGACCGGGCATAGACCCATGGTTCGGGCCTGCCGATCCGGCCCAGAATTGGCCCCGACCCGGCCCCACATTCGGCACGATGGTAGGGAAGGAACGGGGACGAAGACCGACAGTAGTTCCTGTTCATTTCGATCAGGACTCGTAGTCGGCGTCGCCGCGGACATTGTCCGTTTGAGACAGAAGGTCGCTTGCCCAACAGCGGCGGCTGTCGAATTTGGGCAGCCTTTTCTGTTGGGCATCGCTTCCGTAAGACACGACCCGGCCCGGCGACCGACTCCTCCGGACCGGGCCCAGGCCCGGCCCGTGCCTGGCGACCAGGACCCGGCCTGGACCCGGCGATTTTGCTCAGACCTGGCCCAGACCCAGGGTTCCAGTTCTCCGCCCTGGCTTTTCAAAGAAGGGAGCGGCGCGGATCAGGGACCCCCTTTCCTGGGCCTGAATCGTAGCCTCTTGGGGCGCTCTTGGGCTTGGGTCTGTTTTGGGGCTCGGGCCACTTTTGGGGCTCTCCGCCACCTCGAAGGCCATCTTGAGCTCTCTGGAGCCGTTGCGGAGCCATGTTGGCTAAAATGCCTCCCAAGGATGCATCCGAAAGGCCCTCCCAAGAATTTTGGCCCAAGGGGAGGTTTCTCAGTCGGCAGGGTGAGGCTGCCCGCTCCTCCAGCACCCTACCCGCACGCTCAGCCCGCGCGCGATGCTTCAGGATTTCGGGGCGGCTCTCGCCGAGCAGGGGAACGGCGAGGCAGCGCGCACCGAGTCGGACGGGCTCAGCCTGGCCCGCACGCAGAGCTCCTCGGGAGAGTTGCTCGACCTCGGCGACGACCACGGCGCCAGCGCTCACACGGAGAGCTGGGGCGCTTCCGCGTTGCCGAGGTCAAGCAGTGGCGAAGCGTCCTGGCTCGCCCATAGCCCATAGCCCTAGCAAACAATGTTATAACAACCTTTTGTGGTTTTCCACGAAGGGTTCTTAGAGCATTTCTGGCGGAGGTTGTCTTGCTTTAACACATCGGGCGAATGTTCAAAGAACATGGCTTTTGTTCTAAGAACGTTTTTGGGTTCTAAGAAGATTTCGTGGTAGGACTATACGAATGCCGGGACGATCGGCCCCTGCTCAACGAGGGACGGCGAAGCGCCGGCCCTCTTCCAGACGGCGCGCCCCGAGATGGTCCTCCTCGGGGGCGGGCGCCCCCAGGGTGGGCCTGCCGTGCTGCGTCGCCTCCCGTCCGCGGCGTTCTGGGAGCAGAGGGCCGCAGCCGCCGCCCGGCGGCCGGGCTGCTCGCCGTGGGAGCTGGGCCCGAGGAAGCGCGGTCCGTGCCACGACGAGGAGGCCTAGTCGCTCGGGGTGCCATCGCAGACGACTCCGCACGGGGCGGGCTTCGCAGCAGGCAGGGGACAAAAAGTCGCATAAGCATAAAAACTCGGAGGTCTGATTTTTTATGTTTATGTGACTTGTTGTTCCCCTGGCAGGGGCGCGGTCACGGGGCGACTCGGGCGCGGCAGCTTGCCAGGTGCTTGCGCTTCCGCGGCGGGCTGCTTGCACTTCCCTCTTTTAGTTGGAGACAGGCCACGGTTGCCAGATCTCCGCGCGTCGGCCGATTCACATGTTGGACCCGGCACGCCTGCCGATGGGCAACTCATATTTCTCAACGCGCATCTTCATTCAGGAGTTCGACCTTTCTTCTCCTCCCTCCTTCTTCTCCTCTCTCTCTCCTCCTCCCTCCTCCTACCCTGTCCTCTCTCCCTTTTTTTCTCATCCCTCCTCCTATCCTATCTCCTTCTCCTCCTATCTCCTTCTCCTCTTTCTCCTCCTCCTCTCCCTGCCGTCACTCCTTATTTCGGAGATGTTGGTTTTATTGTGAGCCTGGCGCTTCCGCGGACTGCTTGCACTTCTCTGTCTGCAGTGGAGCCGCAGAGAGGCAACCGCTGCGCTCCATCTGCCGTGATGCTGGCGTATAGGAGATCTCGAGTTTCCGCAAGCCGCCCTCGTATCGTGCATGGGTCCATGTCCATAGGAGCTCCACTCCAGATACTCCGCTGTTTCCCTTCGTGTTAGAAACCGCAGGGAGCTGGTTCGAAGAAGGCCCCAAGACGGCCTCATGACGCACCAGCAAAAAGACCCCAGTGCCCAAGACAGATCCGAGAGGCGCCCAGATTGCCACACGAGGTCTCAGGCCTGAAGCACCAAGACGTTTCCCTTCCTCCGTCCTTCGTCGTCTTACTCTTGCGGTATGCTCCGCCGCCGCCGCCACTGCTGACTCGACTGCTTGGCTCGGAGTGGCCAGAACGAGCGAAAGACAGGCCACGGTTGCTTCAAATATTGGACCACGCCCGCCGATGGGCACCCTATATTTCTCAACGCGCATCTTCACTCAGGAGTTCGTCCTCTTTCTTCTCCTCCCTCCTTCTTCTCCTCTCTCTCTCTTTCTCCTCTCTCACTCCTCCTACCCTGTCCTCTCTCCCTGCTTTTCTCCTCCTTCCTCCTATCCTATCTCCTCCTCCTCCTCCTCTTTCTCCTCCTCCTCTCCCTGCCATCACTCCTGATTTCGGAGATGTTGGTTTTATTGTGAGCCTGGCGCTTCCGCGGACTGCTTGCACTTCTTTTTCTGCAGTGGAGCCGCAGAGAGGCAACCGCTGCGCGCCATCTGCCGTGATGCTGGCGTATAGGAGATCTCGAGTTTCCGCAAGCCGCCCTCGTATCGTGCATGGGTCCACGTCCATACGAGCTCCACTCCAGATACTCCGCTGTTTCCCTTCGTGTTAGAAACCGCAGGGAGCTGGTTCGAAGAAGGCCCCAAGACGGCCTCATGACGCACCAGCAAAAAGACCCCAGTGCCCAAGACAGATCCGAGAGGCGCCCAGATTGCCACACGAGGTCTCAGGCCTGAAGCACCAAGACGTTTCCCTTCCTCCGTCCTTCGTCGTCTTACTCTTGCGGTATGCTCCGCCGCCGCCGCCACTGCTGACTCGACTGCTTGGCTCGGAGTGGCCAGAACGAGCGAAAGACAGGCCACGGTTGCTTCAAATATTGGACCACGCCCGCCGATGGGCACCCTATATTTCTCAACGCGCATCTTCACTCAGGAGTTCGTCCTCTTTCTTCTCCTCCCTCCTTCTTCTCCTCTCTCTCTCTTTCTCCTCTCTCACTCCTCCTACCCTGTCCTCTCTCCCTGCTTTTCTCCTCCTTCCTCCTATCCTATCTCCTCCTCCTCCTCTTTCTCCTCCTCCTCTCCCTGCCGTCACTCCTGATTTCGGAGATGTTGGTTTTATTGTGAGCCTGGCGCTTCCGCGGACTGCTTGCACTTCTCTGTCTGCAGTGGAGCCGCAGAGAGGCAACCGCTGCGCTCCATCTGCCGTGATGCTGGCGTATAGGAGATCTCGAGTTTCCGCAAGCCGCCCTCGTATCGTGCATGGGTCCACGTCCATACGAGCTCTACTCCAGATACTCCGCTGTTCCCCTTCGTGTTGGAAACCGGTGGTGTTTAGGATTGTGGTATATTCTAGTAGTGTTGTGCGCGCAGGCAACGGGGGTAGGGGCCGTCGAACAAGAGGCCTTGAGGGGCCCAATCAAACACATTGGTGTTCTTGGGGTGTTTTCGCTCTACCTGGCTTCCGACCGCCCAAGACAGCTCCAAGACGGCACAAGATGGGCCCAAGACGGCCTCGGCACGGCCCTAAGAGGACCCGAAGACAGCCCAAGAGGCCCCCAAACTGGCCCCAAAGCGGCCCCTCGAGAATTCCAAGATGACCATGCAAGCCCCAAAGAGGGTCCCAAAGCGGCCCTCAGAGACGCCCAAAACCGCAACTCCAGCATGCGTCCGTCCAAGAGACTCAAACAATGCCGAAGGACGACTGGAGGTGGCTCGAAAGCTCTTCAGTAGTGAAAGCAAAGTCATAAAACTTGAGGCCCTGCCAGTGCGACCAGGAGGGGTTTCTGCACGTGCTCCGCCAGCTGGCGTAACAGCGCATGCATTCAAAATCAAGGCTGCAAGTGCTCCGCCACCCGGCGTGACAGTGCGTGCATAGTGTATCAAAGCAGTTTGCCTTGCGTCATCTGACATTTTTCGTTCTTTCTGCACGTGCTCCGCCAGCTGGCGTGGCAGCGCGTGCCTTTTACTTAAGGCAGTTGTTTTCTCCCGTCCTCCGTCATTCCTCGTCCCTCCCGCACGTGCTCGGCCGGACAGGCCAAGACAATGTGATGACATCTAAGGAGAAGCAAACAACGACTTCGACATTTCATCATAATGCCATGCAAGCCCACTGAGAGGGTCCCAAAACGGCCCTCAAAGACGCCCAAACCCGCATCTCTAGCATGCGACGGCTGAAGGTGACTCGAGACCAGGAGGGGTTTCTGCACGTGCTCCGCCAGCTGGCGTGACAGCGCATGCATTCAAAATCAAGGCTGCGTTCCCTCTTTCCTCCGTCTTTCCTCGGTCTTCCTGCAAGTGCTCCGCCACCCGGCGTGACAGCGCGTGCATAGTGTATCAAAGCAGTTTGCCTTGCGTCATCTGACATTTTTCGTTCTTTCTGCACGTGCTCCGCCAGCTGGCGTGGCAGCGCGTGCATTTTTTACTTTAAGGCAGTTGTTTTCTCCCGTCCTCCGTCATTCCTCGTCCCTCCCGCACGTGCTCGGCCGGACAGGCCAAGACAATGTGATGACATCTAAGGAAAAGCAAACAACGACTTCGACATTTCATCAGAATGCCAGTCAAGGCCCCAAGGTTTTTCAGCGATCTCCCCGACGTACTCGCAAGCCACGACTTGCGTGCCGTGAAAACGATCTGGCAACCCTGGACGGCGCCATTGGGGCAAAAAGGCACCTACCCCCCTCAAGATAGCGCCTAAACAGCCCCAAAGCCAGTCCAAGGAAGCCCTGCGACATCGCATAACCGGTCCAAGACGGTCGGAACCCTTCTCCGACAGCGAGTCGCCCGCAAACCCCGACCTTCGTGTCATCACAGCAGAGGGGCGGGGCAATGAGAGGGCCCAAGAGACGTCCAAGTGAGCTCCCGGACGGCCCAAAAGCTCTCCAAGAGAGCCCAAGGCCGCCCAAGAGCGTTCCAAGATGGCCTAACATGGCTTCAAGGCAGCCCAAGAGGGCTTCAAGACGGCCAAGATGCCTTCAAAAGGAGTCCCACGCGGCCCTTCGGAGGCGAAACATGTAATTTTGCTGAGGTTGTAAGGTTTTCCGCGCTCTGGCTTGACAGCCCACGAGGCCCCAGAAATCGACCCAAGACGGCCCGAGCGGTTTTCAAGCAGGGCCCCAGGACAGCCCACTAAGGTCCCAAGACGGTCCAAGGGCGCTCCAAGACGGCCCCGAGAAGGCCCCAAATGACTTCAAGAGAGGTCCAGAGGGCCCCTAGAGCCCTGCTAGAGGGCTAATTCAGTGGAGCAGAAAGCTCTGTATGTATCGATATATGTATGTATGTTTGCATGCATGCATGCATGTATGTATGTGTGTCTGTCTGTCTGTCTGTCTGTCTGTCTGTCTGTCTGCCTGCCTGCCTGCCTGCCTGCCTGCCTGTCTGTCTGTCTGTCTGTCTGTCTGTGCGTATGTATATATATGTACGTACGTAACATGTATGTATGTGTGTATGTGTGTATGTGTGTATGTTTGTTTGTTTGTTTGATTGTTTGTATGTATGTATGTATGTATGTATGTCTATATGTATATATATATATATACATGCAGAATATGAATAAGTACCGCCTCCCCCGGCCCCGGGTCCCACACCTTCTCGCCACATCTCGGGAACGCTCCCGTTACTGCTCCCCCGGCCTTTCCGGGGAGCCTCCACAGCGCTCCAGGAGGGCCCAAGACGTCTCCCAGGAGCCCCCAGAATGCGAAAGGATGGCCCAAGACGCTCCCAAGCAACCCAAGTCAGCCTTCCGACGGCTCTCGAGGCTCCCAGGTGGCCTCCAAGAGACCCCAAGAGAGGTCCGAGAGGCGTCCTAGGACGGCCCGAAGAAGCCAAAATCGTAGACTTTCAGTTGTTTTTTAATGTTTTTGGCTTCTCGCGTTTTCGAGCTTCCAACGGTCCATGAGCGGCCAAGAGGCTCGCAAGACCGCCCCAAGACCACCCAAGAGACCCTCAGGACGGCCCCAAGACGGGCCAAGAAGTCTCCAAGATTGCCGAAGAGGCGCCCAGGACAGCCCCAGATCACCCCAGAACAGGCCCAAGATGGGCCCAAGAGCGGGAGCAGGACGCTTCCAGGGACCTCCAAGAGGCCTCCGGGACCACCCAGAGGCCCCAAACACACCCCCGATCCTTGAGAGGCCCCAAACAGACCCCGACGAGGCTCCAAGAACAGCCCAAGAGAGCTAAGAGAGCCGTC